ACCCTCGTCGACTGCTTGGGCAAGCGCTGGAAACGGTTCAGTGGTTTGGTGCTTCCTGGAAAGGTTGCAGTCCCTCTGCTTGCTTGCTATATCTTGGTAGGGAAACTGGTGGTTACAAAGTGCACTAAAAGAAGCTCTTTGATGCTTGTTAGGTTGGGACAAGACAGGAGGGTGGGGAGGTCTCAGGCTCCGGGATCGACCGTGTTACCATGGGTGAAAGGGAAGGCAATCAACCATTGGGGGAGATTGGATGGTGGTCCGGGAATTGGCAAGAGTAGAAAATACTGTGGTCAACACAACCCTGCAGTGGTGGGCAGTTGGGCTGAGGTGGTGTGGGAGGGGGCTGGGAAGCACACCCAGGAAGGCCCCTCTGCCTGATTTTACCTTTGCTGCAGGTGCCTATCTGATCCACTGCCCCACCTACTAGAGACAGGTTAACATTAATTATTGCAACAGTGCCCAGAAAGGGTGCCGGGGAAGGTGGGGGTGCAGGGGCCGAAAGCCCTTGGAGAGCCCCATTCCGGGCCTGAGGCTAGCAGGGCCACCGGGGCCTCTTCCTGGCTCACAGCCTCCACTGCTCTGGGTGGGCTGACGCAGCAGGGCCAGCACCAGCTTTCTTTCCCCCACGTCCTGCTGGTGCAGAGTCTCATGGGAAGAGCCCTGCTTCCCAGGATGGTTGCCTGACCTCTAAACAATACAGACGAAGGCGGGTAGAACAGACAGTTCTGAAATAGCGCCCAGTGAGTGGTCCACTGAAACTCTGTGACTACATTCCCTGGGCAGTCCGTGGGCCAGACTGTGGCTGATTTGTGAATGACACCTTAATAGCAAGCTCCTCTGTGCCAGCGCCGTCTGCCCTTCCCCCTGCTGACCTCTGGGACCCAGGGCACCGCCAGACTGGAGGCTCTCTGTGTGGGCCCTGGGCTCATCTGCTGCACTGCTGGGGAGTAATGTGAGTTATGTTCTAAAGAATGAGGCAGAAGACCCATATTTAGCTCCTCAGTAATTAGGCCTTTAAGCAAAGTTTTGTCTCAAAACAGTTCGAGGGGCACAGTGAACTAGTCAAGAAATACCTGGGGTGTGTAAGAGGACTGAGATCTGGGGGCCTCTGAGCTGCTAGGCTTGGGATGACTGCACTTGGCTCATGGGTAAGCACCCGTGCCTTCGCTTGCCATGTTGTTTGCACTGACGGTGTCCACACTGAGAGGTAGCGCCCAAGCCCCCGTCTAGCCGGAACTCTGTGTGCTGCTCACAGCTGGCCTGGGTCAGCTTACCCAGCAGCTTCTTCCCAGGCCGGGCAAGGATTCCGGTACCTTCCTTCCTCCTGTCAGTCCTCTGCTTCCCTCTCTGTCCACTGTCTGGGCCCTGATGCTGTCTCCCGGGGACAGAAGTGAAGCGCCGAGCATTTAGACTGAGCGTGTGCCCTCACACCTCCTGCTGTCTCCTTCACATTGTCAACCCCTCTGTGTTCTTTGCCCGCATCTGATTGGGCCCGGCCCGGCCATCTGGACTTCCGTTCCCAGGAACTGTTTTAGGATGGATACCCACAAAGGGTACAGATAAATGTGGCTTTAAAAACCAGATGCTCAGAAAGGCAGAGTGGAAGGAAATATACGCCAGACAGGCCATCGTTACTGGGCTCAGATGGTGTGGTTGTGTTCTAAGTGCGTCATAATAAGGTTACAGGTACCGTCTGTGGCGTAAGTGTCCTTCTTGTTGTTTGGTTTGTAAGCAGGCGCAGGTCTACCCTGCTCTTCAGGTCAAAGATGCAGACGCGGTGGGTGTGCTTTCATTACACTGAGAGTTCAAAACTGGAAAACAGAGATGCGACAGGGAGCCACAAACCCCGAATCGCCCGTGGCCTTGACCGTGCAGACTGATGGCCCCTGTTTAGCTTTTGATGTGCTTCTACTTAGTCTTTTTAAAAACAAAGCAACATCTGTGCCCTTGTAAAAAAGAACTCCTTTCGGTTGTCAAAATTCTTGTACCATTTACTCTGACTGTGCTAGTGCTCCCTTGCTTTTATAACGAATTGTAGAAACCTCAGAGCTGTTTCCAGAAAACTAACATGCATCCTTTACATGCACTGGGGTTCCTGGAAATCTCATCTTAAAACGTGACACTTGTGCTTGTACAATATATGTCTGTGGATGAACGTGCGAGTCACATGCCCCACCCAAGGGAGGGGATGGTGTGACAGCACAGGTCCACTGGGAGGGCTCAGCTCTTCGCCATCCTGCCCTGGTGGTGGGGATTTAAGCCACTTGACTGTCTGGTCTCTCCTCTGCATCCAAAATGAAAATTGAAAAACGCACGGCCCTGGAACAGATGCTGGTGCACAGTGCCCTGTAGGGCAAAGTGTAGGATTTCCCCATGGGCTCTCCAAGGCTGTAAATCTTTATCGACTCTGGTGCCCACGTCTTACCTTGGTGTAGCGGCTGGGCTTGAACTGCCTGGTTTTCGCTTGATAGTGGAGCACCAGCAGGGCACCTTCTTCTGTGCATAGCCCCCCAAAAGTGAAGGAGGAAATGCACAGATGGGCTAGCGTTCTCAGCATCGTAGACACTGTCTGAAAGAAATCAGGCTGAGAGTCTGAAATGAAGCATTCAAGTTAGGAGGCTGTCTGTGGAATTGTAGCCTCTGGCTGCCTGCAGTTCATTTCATCTCTCCATATAATTCAGCTTTTTCTTGTTGGGGGATGGGGGGATTGTCCTTTTTCACTCTTAGGGAGGCAGGTAGTAGAAGAGAAACCTCTGGGTTTGTGGAAACCATATGAAGCCCAACTGACATCAGCTAGCTCAGTGACCTGGACTAAGTCACTTAGCCTTTCCAAGCCTCAGTGTCTTCAGTTCCTAAAACGGGGCTCTTGTTTTGTTACTATGTTATAGTAGAAACAAACCCTTGAGACTTAGTGCGTCCGAGTTGGCCTGCTAACCTCAAGGTCAGCAGTTCAAAGCCACCAGCAGCTCCTTGGGAGAAAGACAAGCTTCCTCCTCCTGTCAACAGGAAATCCACAGAGGCAGGTCTGCTCACTATCGCTGAAGACAGAGCGGTACATAAGAAAATGTGGTGAAGAAAGAAAGCACCATGAGGTGCTCGGCTATCAAAAGATATAGCCTCTTGGGTCTTAAAAACTTGATGATAAACAATTGGCCATCTAGCTAGGAAGCAACAAAGCCCAAATGGAAGAAGCACACCAGCCTGTGTGATCATGAGGTGTCGATGGGCTCAGGTATCAGGCATCAAAGAACAAAATCATATCATTGTGAACGAGGCGGAGTGGGGACCCAAAGCCCATCTGTAGGAATCCTCTTACAGAAGGACCAGGCGGGGAGGAAGTGAGCCAGTCAGGGTGCATTGTAGCAATGAAGAAACATACAACTTTCCTCTAGTTCTTCATGCTCCCTATTCTACCTTACAAATCCGGCTAGACCAGAGGATGTACACTAGTACACTTAAGAACTGGAAACACAGGGAATCCCAGACAGATGAACCCCTCAGGACGAGTGGTGATACCAGGAGGGTGGAGGGAAAGTGGGGTAGATAGGGGGAACTGACCACAAGGATCTACATATAACCTCCTTCCTGTGGGATGGACAATAGAAAAGTGGGTGAAGGGAAAAGACAGTGTAAGACATGACAAAATAATTTACAAAATATCAAAGGGCTGGTAAGGGAGGGGAAAATGAGGAGCAGATACTAAGGGTTCAGATAGAAAGTAAATGTTTTGAGAATGATGATGGCAACAAATGTGCTTGACACAGTGGATGAATATATGGATCGTGATGAGTCGTACGAGCCCCCAGTAAAATGATTTTTTTATTAAGTTTGCCAGTTCTAGGAAGTATGTTTTTACCATGAAAGCAGGTTGCGTCATTGAAAGGCCGGTCTTTTTCCTTCCATAGTTGTCATAAAGGGTGTCCTTTAAGGCCAGTTCTGTTTTATGTCAGCTGAAATGTGGTCAGCAGGTCAGAGTGTTAGAGTCCCGGGCAGAAGTGTGGTAAGGGCTCTTGGGTTCTGTCCGTGTGTCAATCAGAGCTGACCTAAAGCTAATGTCTAACATGTGACGATAGCTCACTTTGCGGTTTCATCAGCCTGACACCACGTGGGTGGCACTTTCTCTAGCATTCACCCCAGAGTTGGGTCCACCGTCAGGACGCAGGCTCTCTGCTCCTGGTGATCCCCCGTGGGGTCAGTATCTCACTAAAATGACGCCGAGGACTCATGAACACTCCTCGCCACAGTGGCAGTGCGCCCACGGGGCAGCCTGTCATGGTCTGGCGGGCTCCACGAGACACCTGTGCATCATCATGGGGTATGAGCTAGCGGGCAAACATTTTAAATGCTGGGCAACACTGAAGTGTTTCTTTCTGTAAGCCAGCAATCTTCGGGACCTCGGACCTATATTTATCTTTGCTCGAAGACTCCTAACAGTGTTTCTTATAACCAGAATTATAACAAGCGTCGTGACGGATCAAGCAAGAGCTGGGTGAGATGCCTGGGACAAGAGGTCCCAAAGGACACACTCACGGTCCTGGTCTCCTAGTCACTGAGACCCCGTGAATGTGTTCATTGGTGCCCCTCCCCCTGGGACAGTTGGTGAGCTGGGTGGGCACCCAGTTGCCCAGCTGTTCTGTAAAACAAAGGCATTTTAATGGCTCAAGAAGCAGCTCTCAAAGGGCAGCCCTTGGTGATGGAGAGGCCTGACTGATGGGGGTCAATGGTGCCTCTGTCCCTGATCTCTCTCACAACAGACTGAATAGAGGGCTGCTCCCAGCATGGGGTCTGTTTGGGAAGTGGGTGTAGTGGTGTCCCACTCACAGCTTAGGTGTGAGCGCCTGCCATGGATCATGGGGGGCTGGCAGGCGGGGGCCATGGAGGGGACCAGCTGTGCTGTGGGGCCTGCTGTCTTCGCTGATGCACTGGCCGGGAAAATGCCGGCACACACAAAGCCCTGGTGCTGAGGACTGATGCCACCCGCGGTCCGTTGCCTCTTTCAGTCGAATAAAGTTCCCGTGGTGCAGCACCCACACCACATGCACCCACTGACGCCCCTCATCACCTACAGCAGTGACCACTTCTCCCCCGGCTCCTCACCCGCCCACCTCTCCCCGGAGATCGATCCAAAGACAGGTGAGTCCCTGGGGCTTTCCTCCTTTCCAGCCAGGCTGCCCTGGTCCTCCCTGCTCCCCTCGGGCCTTGTCTAGTAGCTAGCGTCCCCCTTGCCCTCTTCACCTGTGCCCCTTCTGCACCTTGGGCGTCAAGGGGTCGTGGTGACTGTTGGAGGAGAGGAGATGAACATGCACGGGAGCCCTTCCTACCGGCGCTCCTGCAGTGATAGATGGCATGGGGCCCCGTCACTGGAACCCTGTGGGGCAGCTGCAGCTGCAGCCTGCTAACCAAAGCCAGTGCCCTCACCCAGGGGCTGGCAGAGTGGATGCGCCAGCTACCCGTCTATTTGCGAATAAATGAAAGCCCCATGAGCTGAATAGTTGTTCTATTTTCATATTCAATATGACACCAGAGCCTCATGTAGGTACTTCATAGGGCTGAAGAACTTGAAAGTGATCTAGTCAGGTGCATTAGTTCGCCTTCCAAGCCCCTGGGGATGGAGGGGCAGCCAACCCGTTCCTTAGAGGTGTTGGGATGGGCTGATCCGTCCCTCTTTGGACACAGGAATTCCCCGGCCCCCTCACCCATCTGAGCTGTCGCCATATTACCCGCTGTCACCGGGACCTGTTGGACAGATGCCCCACCCCCTCGGCTGGCTCGTCCCACAGTAAGGAAGCGTGTGGCGTTCGGCGTTCCTCACCCTTGCCCCTCCTGTGCTTAGCCCTGCATTCTGTACCTCCAGCTGCTCTCAGGTGCCCTCGGACCTGGGCAGCCTTGTACTTCCTAGCTTGTCTTTCCTACCTGAAGGTTCCCATGTTAACTCTGACACTGGGTGTCCTTGCCCCTGACCCTGACAGGCAAGGACAGCCCATGTACTCCCTGCCTCCCGGCGGCTTCCGGCACTCCTACCCTGCCCTGGCCATGAACGCCTCCATGTCCAGGTGAGGACCTCACCTACCGGGTCTGACAGCACGGGGCCTTCCTCTCGGGCTTCGCCAGGGCCCCACCCTCTCAGACAAGGGGATCCTCGCCCCGGTCAGCGTGGAAAGCACAGCCCCCGTCTTCCCTTCTCTGAGAGAAGCGTGTCTGGGCCCAAGCGCTCCGTTGCTCCTGCCATGTCCCCATGCGCTGACTTCCTGTCACAGAAGGAGACCACAGACCCACGCCAGGGACGTTTTCCATTTTGTTCCTGGAGATGGTGGTCTCCAGCTCACAGCGACCCTAGAGGGCAGACCAGGCCTCCCCCAGGGAGCAGAAAGCCTCGTCGTTGTCGCACAGAGCAGCAGGAGGTTTGGGAGTGCTGGCTTTACAGGTGGCAGCCAGATGCATAGCCACCTGCATGTCAGGAGTGGAGACCGTGAGAGGGAATCCCATCTTCCACCGGCTTTGCCTGGCGGGTACCTCCAGTGACGGAGACCCGTGCAGTCCGTAGCTGAGCCCTGTGTTTCCCACGTGGCATGCCAGCTCTGACCCTTCCCGTGCACTGTCCCCCGGGCGTTGTGGTCGCGGAGCCTCTGCTCAGAGCCACCCACCCTCGGCCTGAACCCCGCCTGTCGTCTGTCCCCACCTTGTCCACAGCCTGGTTTCCAGTCGGTTCTCCCCTCACATGGTGGCTCCGGCCCATCCCGGTCTGCCCACCTCAGGGATCCCCCACCCTGCCATCGTCTCCCCGATTGTAAAGCAGGAGCCTGCACCCCCCAGCCTGAGCCCGGCAGTGAGTGCGTAAGTACCGCCAGCGGCGGGGTGTGAGAAATGGCCACTCTCCTCATGAGCAGGCGACCCCCTGCCCTGCCCCATGCCACCTTGTCCCCTGGACCTTGTGTGTCCCTGCCCTTCAGGGACATGGGGCCCTTTTCTCACAGTAGGGAGAGCTAATTAGAACGGGGTTTTCGAGAACCGAGGAGCTGTCTTGCGTCCACGGTGACAGTGAGGCCCGGTAGGAGGCAGAGGACATTTCCCCCAAGCCCCGTGGCCCGAGAAGCATGCTTCAATTCCTCTGTCACCTAAGCCCCCCGTGAACCAGCCCAGAGCAGAGTCGCCCCCACTCTGTGTGGCTGTTGGGTAGTGAGTGGGTTCCAGGCCAGAGGGCGTAGCTCCGAGATCAGCCAGAAGCCCGGGTCTCGGGCAGCTGCTCCATCCCATGGTGGCTTGAGGCCGGGTCTGGGTGACTCAGCCGGCACCCCAGCCCCGCTAACCTGCAGCCCCGCGACTTCCCAGGAAATCGCCCGTGACGGTGAAGAAGGAGGAGGAGAAGAAGGTGCACGTGAAGAAACCCCTGAACGCCTTCATGTTGTACATGAAGGAGATGAGAGCCAAGGTGGTGGCCGAGTGCACCCTGAAGGAGAGCGCAGCCATTAACCAAATCCTGGGGAGAAAGGTGAGGCCCCTGTCCTCCCGCGGGCTGTGGCCGGCTGGGCCCCCCACTCACGGACCCCTGTGCTCTTGCCTTTAGTGGCACAACCTGTCTCGGGAAGAACAGGCCAAGTACTACGAGCTGGCCCGGAAGGAGCGGCAACTGCACTCCCAGCTCTACCCTACCTGGTCCGCCCGCGACAACTACGTGAGTGCCGCCCGCCCTGGGCAAGGAGGAGGGGACGGAGGGGCACGGATTGCATGAGCGCAAAGCTTCCATTTCTTCTTCCCTGGGAATGTGGCATTTCCTTTCTTGGGAGGCCAGCAAGGAAGTGGGTGTTTGGTGTCCTGAGGGCAGAGTTAAACTGATGCCTTTGCTGTCGAGGCTGGACTCCCTAAAATGGGGAGCGGTATGCGCTGTGTTGCGCACTGGGCCTGAGTTTCTCTCGCCAAGGGTTCCTCCGCCAGGGCTCAAATGCCAGTGTAGGCACCCGGGGGCATAGGAACTTGGCATATGTTTCTATGCATGTGCCCACGGGCTGCTTTCTTTCTGTACTGAGGGATCATAGCTCCATCGGATTCTCTCAGGACTTGAGGCCCCTCCCCATAATCAGAACCACTCTTCTAGGGGGAATCGATGAAAAACAAGTCTGAAGGGATGGAGCCTTGAAGGGGTAGAATCCTCCATGGGACAAGAGGGGCGCACAGACCCAGAAGTCTTCCTCTGCCGCCCAGCCTTCTGAGACAGCTAGGCTGTAGCTGCTCCTCCTTCACAAAGGGACAGTAGCCAGTCTTCGCCCTCTCTCAGCTGCCCTGGTGACCACTGCCCTGTGCTGTGCTTTCAGGGTAAGAAAAAGAAGAGGAAGCGAGAGAAGCAGCTGTCACATTCCCAGTCCCAGCAGCAAGTCCCGGAGGCAGAAGGTGCGTCTTGGAAAGGGCCCGCCAGCCGGCTTTCCATCTGTGTGTGCCGTCTGGTTCTCGGATGGACTTGGGTCCATGGTAGTGCCTTTTCAGGGCCCCTGCCTCTCAGCAGCCACGTGGATTCTCAGGCAGGTGCTACATCACCCTCCTGTGTGGAAATGACCAGTGAGAGCCTCCGGAAAGTTGCTCTTCCCCCTGGTGGTTCAGTAGCGGAAAAGGGATTTGAACAAGGACTTTCCCACCGCAAAGCCGGAGTTATATTAGGTTGGGTTCCAAAGGGGACGTGCAGTAAAGGGAAAACTGCAGGGTGTTGACTTCCCTGGCGGGTCACCTTGGAAGGTCCTGAAGAGTGTGGGCGGAAAAAATCAGACGAGGCTTACTGGTCAGACACAGGCTAGTGGAACCCCTGAGACAATGGCCCCTTAGCCTGGGACTGAACTCACCCCGATGGGTCCATTGTCGGTGAGACAAGAACATGTCTAGATGGAGAACAGTCCCATGAACATGATCAACCATTTGAGATCCAGGGGCACAGCCTTTCCCTGAGAACACAGTTCAGAAAGAATGAAGACTGGACGCAGGAGCCAGTAGACTAGGCAACGTGACGTTGTGGGAATTGCGGTTGATGGGCAGCAGAAGACGCGTGAATCATCATGTAGCAAACAGATCTCCGTAAACTTGTGCCCAGGGCATGGTGGAAGGATTTGGTATTTTGCATGTTTTTTTGTTTTTATTTTGTTTTTCAAAAACCCTACTAGTAGATCCCTGAGAAGAATGGGGAATTCTGGTGGGGCCCCCAAGACTTGGACCCTTTAGGTCTGTAACTTGAGTTTACCCCCTGCCCCATGTGAGGATAATCAATCACTTAAAATCGAAAGGGCATCATCCCCTACTCAAGGACAGAGGGTTGGGCGAGGAGGAAGACAGGAGACTGGGAGAAGCAGGCTAAGTGATGGCACCTGGAGGGGGTGATAGATGAGTTAAGAAAAATATTTAGGAAGTGTTGATTGTAAAGCTCATGATCAGCTTTGTAAAACCTTCACTTAAAACACAATAAAACGTTTTTATTTTTTTTTTCTTTTTGAAATTGACACTCACTCACTCACTCACTCACTCACTCATTCATTCACTATCGGAGATGCAATCCAAGCAAGAGTTTGCGTTTAGGAGCCATTTTGTGCAAAAATAGACACTATACCTTTTACACCAGAAACAACCCCCTTAGCAGAGAGGTGTTCACACTGACAAATATTGCAGACCTCGTTTGCCTTCATCACACACACACACACACACACACACACACAATATAGGAGATGCAATCCACCTCCCTCCCATTTAGCAGGTACTGCACTGTCTGATTGTACCAGAAGTCAGAATTTAGGGCACACCAAAAGGGATGGTTGGTTGGGGCATGATGAAGATAGTGTGACGAGCCCTGTCATATCACAAACCACTGATATGGCGTAGGTCTTTGTCCATCTGAGCATCTCCCCATCGCTCTGCCCTGGGTGTTCTGACTGCAGCCCCCACTCTCGAAAGCCTTCCTAGTGCTTTAGAAGCAGGTTCCCAGTTCCCTCCCCGTATAGATTCCTAAATTGCCAAAACACAAATGTGTAGCCAGATTTCTTTTGTCTGTTGTCTGTCTTCTGTTGCTTCCTGATGAATCGTCCCACAGCTCGCCGACGATCCTTCCTGGCTCTGTGGGTTGACTGGGCTCTGCTGGGCAGCTCTTCTGCCCCCTGGGGGCTCAGCTAGGCGGGGGCATCCGAGGTGGCTCCCTCACGCAGTTGGTGCTTGAGCCGGGGCTGTTGGTCCTGTGCTCCTCAGGCTTCAGGCTGCTGACTTTCCCTGGTCTGATTTCTCCTAGGTACTCTAGCCTCTAAGAACAAGAAGCCGTGTGTTCAGTACCTGCCCCCTGAGAAGCCCTGTGACAGCCCTGCGTCCTCCCACGGTAGCATGCTGGACTCCCCTGCCACCCCCTCCGCCGCCTTGGCTTCACCAGCTGCCCCCGCCGCAACCCACTCGGAACAAGCCCAGCCCCTCTCCCTGACCACCAAGCCAGAAAGTCGGGCCCAGCTGGCTCTCCACTCAGCTGCCTTCCTGTCAGCCAAGGCTGCAGCCACTTCCTCTTCCTCTAGCCAGATGGCTGGCCAGCCTCCCCTCCTCTCCCGGCCCCTCCCTCTGGGGTCCCTGCCCACCGCTCTGTTGACTTCTCCCCCTTCCTTCCCAGCCACGCTCCGTGCCCACCAGGCCCTCCCAGTGCTCCAGGCCCAGCCGCTTTCCTTGGTCACCAAGCCCGCCCACTAGGTTGGCCCCTGACCTCTGCAGGTTGTCAAGTGACTCATCGAGTAATTCAGAAGAAAAAAGGAAACGTTATTGGTCAATATTTGACCTCCCTGGACTGTTCCGTAAAGTGACCGGTACCGGCGGCGCTTTACGTTTTGTACATGTTAACCAGTAGCTCATCTTAAGGCTTTTTTTAAAAAACAAAAAAATACAAAAACAAAGTCATTGAGAGAGATGAACTGAACAGGCAGTGCGTTACCCTTCCTGTGTGTGCTGTGGAGGGGGCCCTGGTGGTACGGCAGTTAAAGCACTCGGCTGTATGCCAGAAAGGTCGGTGGTTCAGACCCACCAGCTGCTGTGGGGGGGCAAGACGAGACTGTCGGCTTCTATTAAAATGTACGGCCACTGGGGCTCCCCAGGCGGCAGTTCTACTCTGTGCTGTGGGGTGGCTGAGAGGCAGAACTCGCTCTCAGGCAGACGGCGGCATATGCTGTGGGTGGATGGACTTGGGCAGAAGCCAACTTTCTCTCCACTGCCTGTGGTTTCTGCCCTCCTTCGTCTTCTCCGCTTCCCTCACCTGCGCCCGACCCCTCCCCAGCCCGCATCCCTGGGGGTCCGCACATGGAGATCTCATTCCTAGACCTTTCCTCCGGGCCGGGTTTGGGCCTCAGCAACCTCGGGTTGTGCCCTCTGGCCGGTCTCCTTTGTCCTCTGCTGCCCTCGCCTAGGAGGAGACATCCTTGCCTGATTCCTTCCACCGGCATCCTCTCCCCCTCAGTGGGACCTAAGCCCCATCCTCCAGCGTTCAGTGAGGGGAGAGGTCTGAAATGGTTCTCACTGACATTTAAAGGGACTCTAGGTGCCTGCCACTTCCTTGGGGAAAGAAGTCTGCGTTCTGCCCCCACCTCCCCGGCCCCTCACCGTCCCCTCACCGTCCCAGTGTGGCAGACCTGGCCCCAAGCTCTGGAGTCTGTCCCCTGGGCTCCTGCTAGCACAATCTGCCCAAGTTCGAAGGACCCTCTTCCCCTCCCCACAATCGCCTCACAAGCTTCGTCCGTGTGTATTGTTGTTTTTTAATGTTTTTTGGTTTGGTTTTGGTTTTTTTTGGAGCAATTTAAACTCCCAGTTGTTTATTTTCACAAAAGAAAATAAAATTGCAATTGCAAGACCCTTTCTGAGTCTGTCTTTAGCCCATTTGTTGAGTGAACCCACCTGCCTCATACGAAGGCCCACACTGGATTGTGGAGATGAGCAGGTTTGGGGTGGGAGGGGCGTTGTTGAAACATGCCTTACACGACTGGGAAATCCAAGTCGACTCCGGTGTTGAAAGCGTGTGACCAGTGAAGCCTGAAGTTGAAGAATGTTGCCACCTGGAAGATGGTCTATTTACATTTCTGACACCCAGCTGTCTGCTTCTAATTACAATGATCTAAAGAGGTGTGGGGCTTACATTAACTTGCCCAAAGAATTTGGTTTTTGTCCTTAGTTCCTGAGAATCTCTAAAAACGCCTTTGAATTTTGAGTGGTTTCACTGATACTCCAGGTGACCAACCCCTAAGGTACAGGTGGGGCTTGTGAGGTGAGAAAGGTGTCTTGGCGGGCTGCCCACGGTATAATAATAATACCTCATCATCGGGAGTGACCTCAGGAGAGTGGCTGACGTTTACATCGCATCGTGAGAGCCCTAACAGAGCTCTGGACACAGCAGCTCCAAGGGCTTCCTGGTTGAAAGCACTTGGGAAGGTAGCACACCCTTTAGGGCCCCTAGTCCTAGGCATCTCTTCGTTTATCTCGCCTGCAATCATAAGCATAGCACGTTTCTTAAGTTTTGTGAATCCTAAGGGACTTTTGAACCTGAAGTAGCGAGTCAGAATGGGGAGGGGGCTGCTGAGCTTACAATGGGTGTCCTATGGATAAGGGGGAAACCCTGAGGGAGGGAGGCTGGGAGCCACCTCGGTTTGCACACCAGCAGGTCTGAATGAAGGCAGGCTGTTGTGTGGACTAAATAAGTTTGCAGTTGGCATCTGGAGTGTTGGGCCCACTTGGCATGTCTGAAGGACTGGCTTTTAATTTAGGAGAGCTGACCTAATGCCAGATGGCTAGGACTGGAGAAAGAAGTGCTACTGAAGCAACTGGTATCAGAGTTGAACAGAGAAATGATGCGTGGGTATTTGGTTTTGTGTGTGACTATTTGAGAGAGATGCACACTCAAGCAGCCTTTGTTTTGCATACCACGTAGCTAGCATTGCTTATGAGCCGGTAGCAGCAAGTCCGCAACACAAAGCCCACCTGTTGGAAATCTAATTCAGTGGATTCTGATAGCCACCGTTTCGTACCCATCAGCATAAACAGTCTTAGAACATTTTCCTGATCCCAAGAGGAACCTTATGCCCTTTGAATCTCACCCGACTCCCGAGGTCTAGGCTACCGCTGAGCTCTTCCGTCTCAGCTTTGCCTGTTCTGGACATTCCATAGCAATGGCACTGAATGGTGGTCTTTTGTGCCTGGTTTCTTAGCATGTGTTCTTCACGGGTCACCATGTCATGTGTGTCGGCATGGCATTCCTTTGAATTGACAAGTAACTCCCCGTCTGCTCCTCATTTTGTTTGCCCCTTAGATGACGGGTGTGTGGATTGTTGGCACCTTTGCCTGTAAGGAGTATTGATGTTTACATTCAGGTGCAAGTTTCTGTGGACATATTTTAGTTTCTGTGAGGTAATTCAGGATGAGCTGAAGAGGAATTTTGTCGCACTCATCAGCAAAAAGAACATTTCAAGATCTAGCTTGAAGCACAATGCTGTATAATAGGATACTATCTACATGCCTACATGGAAGTCCCGCTAATTCATTTATTGTTCAAATTTACACACCAACCATGAAAATGAGTGATAAAACTTTTTTTTTTTACCAGATGCTTCAAGCTGAAATTGCTAAAAACTTGTGATCGGTATGCATGCTGATTAGTGGTGACTGGGATGCAAAAGTTGGAGACAAAAAGGAAGGACCAGTAGTTAGAATATATGTCTTGGTCCATTGCTATGCGGGCTTTCAGCACGCGGGCCCTGGGGCCGCGTGCCCTGGGTTGTCCTAGTTCAGTGGCTGAAGCTCGGATGCGGCATCAGGTGAAAGTGTGGCTTGTAGTACGGGGACACATGACCACAAAGAAAGGGCATTTAGAAAGTGGCCAAACCGCTGAGAGACCACATGCCTGCTCGCTCACAGTACGTCAGGCCCCAGCCACCCAGCCCAATCACGTCTTTACCTTCACCAGAGTAACGGATTTTTGTTTTCTTGTGAACACCAAATAAAAAATCTGAAGGGAAAATATGTTTCGGTGATGGGACCGAAGCTAGAGATCACATGAGAGAATTTAGCAAGATGGATGCTTTCTTCATTGCAAACACCTTTACAACAACAAACGGCGACTGTACGTGTGGATCTCACCAAAGAAAATACAGAGAAACCAACCAAATTGGCGGCTTCTGTGGAGAGAGACAATGGAGAAGCTCGATAGCCAAAATCAGTCCAAAGGCCAACTGTGGAACAACTGCTCAACGACTGAAGACAATGAAAGCAACTTTACGAAAACCCTAACAGGGCCTCGAGTGCGTCCCACGTGCATTTAGAGCGTCTCAAGAACAGCTTCGACACGAACTGACCGGTGTGGGCTGACATCAAGAACGTGACACAGGATTAAAAAAAAAAAGAAAAGGAACATGCTCACTTTGACAGCGTACATACTGGTACCGACATGACACAAGATTAGGGTGGCCCCTGCGCAAGGGTGACACAATTTCCTGAAGCGCTCACTTTTTTATTTTGTTGTTGAGCTTTGTTTTGTGTTTAATATGAAGTCCAGGATACGGAAATTCATGGACAAGTAACTAGATTAATAGTCTCTTAGGGTTATGACGGGGTAAAAGGGGAACTAGTATAATGAAGTGAGCAAAAACCTGGGGTTAAAACACCAAAAAGAATAAAACATACTGAGAATTTCTTAAATTGAAGGAACTGGAGAATAATTCACACCTCAAGTTTCAATACTGAAGGATTCCTTGAGCAAAATACTGAACTATGCAAGGAGCATCAAAAGAAGGTGGAATACACTCATTGAACAGAAAATAACTGATTGACAGTCAACCATTTCAAGAGGAAGTTTACGGTCAGGAAGCAATGCTGTTGAAGGAAGAAGACCGATTTGCATTGGAAGCATTAGTGAAAAGCAAGGCTCTCGGAAGTGACAGATTCCAACTGAAATACTGCAAAGATGGACGCAGGGCTGGAGGCACTCACCCCTTTGAGCCAAGAAATTTGGAAAACAATGGGAATTATCTACTATCATTCAAACCACTCGCAATTGAAATGTTGCTGAGAATGACTCAAATATAGTTGTAGCAGTGCATTGACGAAGCTACCAAAAATTCATGCCATCTTTTAAGAAGAGGATGTAAAAGAGACATCAGTGCTCACTGCAGATGGATCTGGGCTGAAAGTAGACAATACAGGAAGATTTTTATTTCTGTTTCACTGACTTTGTTTGCATGGGACTCGATTGTGAACCATAAATTACAGATAGCTTTAAGAAGGGGGTGCCAAAGCACCTCGTTGTTCTCATACACAACATTATAGAGCGAGCAGAACTAAAGGAAGATGGTGCAGGATTTAAAACCAGTAATTGTGTCCATCCGGATTGTATCCTTTTATCATACTTAATCTCTATGAGAAGCAAATAATCCTAGAAGATGAGTATATGAACAATAATGGGGCATCAGGATTGGAGGCAAGCTCTTTAACCTGCAATATACTCATTAACAATTGCACTAATAGATAGCATCATAATAAATGAATATTGATGTCAAGAATTCCAGTTTGCTTGGATCCACCGTCAATGCTCATGGAAGCAGCAGTCAGTAAATCAAAGGAGGGGTTGGGCCAGTCAACTGCACGACCTTTTAAAAGGAGTTCAAGTAAAAAGATAGTGCCTTGAGGACTGGCCCAAGCAATATTTTCATTCTCATGTGCATGTGAAAGACTAATGAAAACAAGTAAGACTAACACAAAATTAAAGGGGGAGGGAGCATTGGAACTGATTGTAATGATGTATATAATACTCTAAAGAAACTACCAATAAAGAAAGAAACCGGACTTGACCTATGGGTCCCGTGGGTGAAGAAGGAAGAGTTTTTGTTTAGGGGTCATTGAGTTTAATGGTGGGAACAATTTGGAGAGGGATATCAATAATTGTATACCACGAAGAGTATAATTAATGGCAGTGAATCATACATGTAGAATTTGTGGAATTGGAAAATGTTTTGTTGTGTATATTTCGCCAACATTGAAGAAGAAAACAATTTTATGCCTAACGATGGTACAAGGAAGAAGATGTTCTACAAACAGTAATGATTATACAACTCTTCTTGATGTGATTGGACTATTGAATTGTATATGTGGACGAAGTGCCAATAAAACTGTTAAAAACAATAATGGATCATTGGTCTTAGGGTGCTGGGGAAGAACCCTGAAAGTACCTGGGCGGCCGGAAGAAGAAACATCTGTCTTGGAGGAGTACAGCCAGCGCATTCCTTGGACGGAGGATAGCGAGGTTCCGGCTCCCATACTTTGGATACATCATGAGAGGACCTGGACAAGGGTGACAGTGGAAGAGCTCATTGAGATGGATTGGCATGGTGGCTGCAACCCGGCCGGGGCTCAAGCATAGCAACTGTGAAGATGGCTCCGGTCCCGGCAGCGTTACTCTGTTGTATGTGGGGTCCTATGACTCGAAGCTCTCACTAGCATCTGACAACAACAACAAGAGCAGAATTGCTGAGTGCTAGTAATTTGAACCCAGCAGCCGCTCAGAGAGAGCAATTTAATTCTGTTCTATAAGCTCATGACTGAAAATTTGCTTGATAAGCTGTATGTTCGGTTTTTTTGGAATGGTAACTCGACAGCCTTTTGAGTAACTGCCAGGCTGCACTGATTTCCATCCCCACCGGCATGTATACATGTTCCCATTTCTCCGTAGCCTCACCAGCACTCATTATATGTCCTCGCTAGTATGCCTATCCTATTGGATATGAAAAGGTGCCTTACGGGCACTCTGGGTTAAGCATTAGGTTACTAAGTGCAAGTTTAGTGGTTCACACGAACTGCTCTTCAGGAACAAGCTGAGGCTGTTTGCTCCTGTAAATATTTAGTCTTGGCAACTGTAAGGAGCAATTTGACTGTCTCAAGGAGTCACTGGGAGTCGGAATTGAGTAGGTAGTAGTGGGTGGTAGTGAGTATGAAGTGGGATCTTACTGTGGCATGGATGTGTTATTTCTCTGATCACTTGTATTAGAGCATCGTTTCAGGAGTACTAGTAGCACTGTGAGTTAGGTGTTAACCATATGGTCAGCTGTTCAAACCCACTAGCCACTCCATGGAATATTTATAACATTTATAGTCTCAGCATTGCAACGTTATGATTGATTTAGTTAGGTTTTATCCTATTTCATCTCCCTTTTGACTCATTTAAAAGTTGGTTCAATGGCCCTAATAAAATGATTATTTTTTAAAAAACAACAACAAAAAAAACATTCCAGACGCTGTTGGAAGTGCTTTACATATGCTAACTCATTTTATCCTCATAAGTAACCTGTAAGTAGGTATGGTTGTTCTTGCTTATAGATGAGGAAACAGAGGCACAGGGAGATGATGTCAGTGGGAGGGCTCTACTTCCTGGAAGGCCATCTGGCCCCAGAGTCTATGGAGTATTGTACCTGATTCTCATTTTAAAGCGTCAATTACACCTCAAGCGAAGTGCTTCTGCACATGGACCAGGAGTGTGAAGAGCCTTGCTATCAGAAAGCGTGCCTGGAAAGTGGATTACTGCCGATGCAGCCAGGTTAAAATCTAGCATCTTCGCATTCGATCTCCTTTATAATCCATTCTAATTTTGTTCTAGTTTTTAATATTTTCTGTTTTCTATTCAACTGAGGTTTCTGTTTTAACTTTGTGATGTTGTGGTTGTGGTTGTTTTTTGTATGTTTTTCTAGATGAAATCCAGGAGAGGTAAATCTATAGAAACAGTAACTGGATTAATGGTTTCTTGGGGGTGTAGTTGGGGAATGGGGGGGGGGGATGGGGAGCTAATAGCAATAAATATAAGAAAGAATAAAATGTTCTAAAATTGTGGTAATAATTGTACAATTCTTTGACATGATTGAATTGTATGTCAATACATTGCAAATAGAACTTTAAAAAATTTATCATCTCAGGAACCCTATCTAGGGTCGCTATGGCAATGGGTTTGGTTCGGGTTTTGTCCATTTATGTTTCTTCTTTGGAAAAATCCCTATGTGGATTCCTTGTCAACTTTGATTGAGCTATAACTGTGTTGCACTACAAGTTTGTGCTTTATACGTATTCTAGATGTAAACTATGTAATACAGTCTAGTCTGTTATCAGATATGTCGTCGTTCGGTGCTGCCCAGTGGGCTCCAAGTCATAAGGAGGCAATGTAGAACAGTGTGAAACACCCCGCCACCCTGTGCAGTGCACAATCGTATACAGAACTGGATATAGGTGCTAGGAGTGCAAATTTTTCTCCTGTTCTATGGGTGCTCTTGTCGCTTTCCTGAGGGGGTCATTTGAAGCAGAATTGCTTGGCTAGCACCTTCAGAACAATGTTGACTAGAAGCGGAAGCCCTTGAATGATGCTGAGAACAGAAACCGTGGGAAACAGACTAGTGCCTCAGAAGTGGCATGGTTAGTGGTAGCACTAAATGCTACAGAGGCTTGTAAGATAAGAAATGTACATAGTTCACAATCTTATGAGCAAATAGATGCCTATTTAGAAGGGAGAACCACCCACCTAGTCACAATAAGAGTTAACAACAATACTGGGCTCTGGATTACAGGAGGCTTGGACTTTGGACTTCATTTTCTGTTTCAATGAATTTTTTTAATAATAAATAAATTAACTATAATAATAAACAATTTTAGAGCCTTACTTGTGTTAGACACTTGAACACAGATTCTCGTGACGTTTTTATACCCATTCACAATGAAGCTGATAATTTAAAACAGCTAAATAAATTACCCAAAGTCACATAAATTATTTTTGTAGTAAATATCAAAGAATAGCAGTCGGGGACTATTTTTAATCAATTTAGCAGATTAAAATAATCAGTGCTATCAAAGGTGAATGAGTAAATTCATACAATTGAACTTCTTTTTAATGTGTCTCATAAAATACAACAAATCAGTACCTGACACTAAATAAAGAGCAGTTGCTAGCTGAAAGGTCGGCAGTTTGAACACACTAGTCCTTCCACAGGAAAACAGATAAGGCGTCGGCTGCACTAAAGATTCGAACCAGGAGCTCCCTCTGGGCAGGCAGTTCACTCTGTCATCTGGGGTGCTTATGAGTCAGAATGGATTCCAGGGCCCGTGAACAAGAGTAGAAACATTTAAATAATCCAAATGGCCAATACTAATGGAGCTTTCACAAAAATTATGATCAACTCATAAATTACCTTTTATGAAACCACTAACAATCTCTGATCTTTTTTAATTACTAAGGAAAATTGCTCTTGACCTTTGGATTCTCTGCTTGCATTTTCAACCACTTCCTTCCAACTATTTCCACTATCTCGGAGGCATCATAAACACAGGACCATAAAAAATTAACTTCCTATGCCCCACCCACCTCTAGTATTCCTACTCCAGTGAGCTAGTGCCTCCACACCTTTCACCCTAAGCTGTATGGCCTCCCAAATTTATCTTGACTCCACCTACTTCTCCCTCCAGCCTTGTTGACCCACTACTCCTACCTGGATTAGTCCTCATTAGTTTCAGAACCAACTCTTCCCTCCCACCCTCTTTGATTCCTCACCTGCAACCAGTCATCTCCCAAGGTCCTCAACGCTGAAGATATAAATTCCCCCCCCCACCCCCACCCAAACCTCTTGAATGGCTTCACAATCCTGCTCAGATCAAATACAAATCACCCTGGCCATTGCCCACAAACGGCCAGATCCCAGCTCCCCTGCTTAGTACATGTGGATACGGCCCATGTCAGCTTTCACAACTTGCCACCTCCTGCCCCTCTCCTCGCAGCCCGGATGGCACCGAGGTTGAGCACCACCTGCTCCGCAGGAGAAAGCTTGATGGCCTGCTTCCAAACCCCACACTCTGCCAGTCTCTGCAGACCCACAGCGACCGCCTGTGGGTTTCTCGGACTGTCTTGGAAGTCGAGGGGAGTAGAAAGCCCATAAAGAAAATCAAATACTCATTTTGGAAATATGAGATAATTTCATTAGTTAAAAAGTACATCCAGATAGAAATGCACTTCTTGTATTGCTAAAGCAAAGTTACAGTTGTAGAATAACTTGGTAAAAGATTTCTCTATTAATTCTTATTCTCTTGGTAATGGCACACTGGAGAGAGGAGGGGGGAGAATTTCTTGGGAAGCATATTAAAAGGTAACAAAATCATGCGCTTAATCCTGGAAAATGGATTTATGCCACATATTGTTATTCCTTGAAATTCTTGGGGATTTCAATGGACTGTGTGCCAAGTACTACCTTCAAGAGACTACAGAGGGGTGTTGTTTACACTGGCTGCTGTCGTCCTTGTTGACAGGGTGGTTCCAGTTTACATTTCAATCCCAGTGAACTAGCACATTTTCTGTCAATTCAGTTGTACTTTTGTGCCCCATAAATATTTATGTTCTGGGCAACTCCCAGACCCTTTGCCCCTTCCCCTGACTCTGCTCCAATCTCACCCTCTGCCACTCTCGCAAGTGCCACGTTCCCTTTGCCTCCAGGCCTTTGCACTTGCCCTTCATAGGTACCCTGGGCTCGCAAAGGGCCACTTGCCTCCTCTCTTCAGTGGCCAGTAAGAAATACCTGCTCTCCTCAGTCCTCAGCCCAAAAGTCTGTTCTTCCAAGAGAGGTTGCCTCCAGTTTTTAGTATGTATTGGTAGGGGCACACACCCACAAGCCTTGGTGTAGATATTTGATATCTGTGTGTCCCACATGGTTCCACAACGGTTAGGGGCATGTTACGATTTAAATCCATGTCTACAAAGCTCTTAACCCGGCAACTTCACAAAAAGTTTTCGATCAATATTTAATGGAGAACTTTAACAGCAACCTAAAAACACTGAACTACAAAATTACTCATTGATCCCATTTGGGAAGAAAATGGATGCGCATGGAAAAAAAGAGACAATGCACGAAGACAGCGGGTGGCCAAGTTCCTTTGTATTTGATTAAAAAAGAAAAATGGTGGAAACAATAAGCCAGTCCCATCGTCACTTGTGGAGGGGTAGGCGCGTTGAGTGAACTTTCTAATGTTCTAAAAAAAAAAAAAATCCCTTCTTGATTTCCCGCCATTAGAATGTATCACCCTGTCAAAATGCGAGGGGGCTCCCAAGAGCTCGTGGAAAAAGTCCCCTTATATGTAATTTCACTATTCCACACACGTTTTGCACCCCCCGAGTATTAAAGTTTTGCAAAAGAGAAAATTCAGGGGGAAAAGGCATTGCTGGTGATTATCTCCGAAGGGTGAGTGTAAGGTTTTGTTTTCTATTTTTAGACGTTAACTAAAACGTCGACGGTGACTATAAATCACTTGCACGATTGAGAGGGGGTGAGGAGCGCGAGCTTTTTAGCCAAGCGCTGCAGCCACTTGGGCGGGAACTGTTTCTGGCAGTGCGGCCAGCGGGCGGGGCCGCGACCAAGGTGAGGGGGCGGGTTCGTTTCCGGAGGGCGGGGCTCGCGCACCGCAGGGAAGAACCTTGAGAAAGGCAGAGAGTCACCTGCAGACGGGGGGTGCTCCGCCACCTCACGCCACCACGGGAAAGGGCCTGCAGAGAAGGCGCGCGCGCCGCACGGACGACGCTAACGCCCCGGCACCGAGCGCAGGAACCGCGGTCCGCAGGAAGCGGCGGAAGAACTTGGCTCAGGGGCGGGGCTTTAGAGGGCCCCGCCCCCGAGCGGCGGGACGGGCGCCGGAAAGGGCGGGGCGCTGAGCCCACGCACGCACGCACCCCCGCGCGCGCTATTCTCTCGCGAGAGCATTAGAGGGCGGAAGCGTAGTTCATGCAGGATGCGGTTCCTTGTTACGTTACTCCTGTTGAGCGTCGTAGCCGCGGGTAAGACCCCCGACCCTCACCTACTACCCCCATCCCACCCTCGCCCTCACTTCCTTGGCCCTCACATCGGCCGGTTGCCTTTTGGGTTTCTTCCCTGCCCGACCCACCGATGGTGCGACATCAACTCCCTCCCTCCCCCTCCCGCCCGTTTCCTCCGTCTCTGCCGGGACCAACTGGTTCCTTTTTTTCTGAAGCCCCGCAGCCCGGAGGAGATCCCGCCACCGCAATTCACTCCCCGAGTTCCGACAACGGAGAGACTTTAACAGGGGATAACTCTGACAAGAACTCTCCGAACCAGTCGGCGGAACGTGCCAACACGCTCCCTCAGGCTCCAGCAGGCTCCAAACTCCGGGTTCCAGGAGACCAGAACCCAGGACCAGAGACCCCGGAACACCCTCTGGATAGTTTGCATCCCGAAGACCACCAACCAGGACAAGGGACCCCGGAGCACCCTCATGATAGTGTGCGTCCCGAAGACCACCAACCAGGACAAGGGACCCCGGAGCACCCTTCTGATAGTTTGCGTCCCGGAGACCACCAACCAGGACAAGGGACCC